ACGTCCATGAATCCTTGCAAAAATGGCGTGATGCGGATGAGGACGTTCTGGAAACCGTTGGACGTAGATTCACGAGGCTCGTCTTCCGTTACCACCAGCTTCTCCGTAAATTAAATGCATATCCGCAAGTTCCGCATACGAATAACGCTGCATTTTAACACTAAGGTACTGTTATTTACTATCTAGTTTGACGCACCACTCAGATAAATTAAATGAATCGGTGTGGAGAATTTACGATAACAAAAATGTAAACACAGCAGGCCTTTTTTTATAAATCGGCGAGACCATGAAATGTGCTAGACGAACATTTTGCAGCTGTTGAATTTTTTGTTTCTCCTATGAGCTCTTAAGGTAAAATTAGCGGTTGTGCTCAAACGGCATATTTACGAACAGGGGTTTATAAGGCAAAATTGCATATTTTTATCCCCTCTACAACCCCTATCATTTTGTCGCAATAATTATGGAACACCCTGTATATATATGGGGTGGCCCATCCATAAACAAAAATTACATTTTGGATAAATCTATTTATGGCATATTATACATGACATTTCTAAAATATTGGCAATTATACAGGGTGTCCTAATTTTGACCTACATATCAAAGTTGTGATTTTTTAAATGGACTGTCTCAAATTTTGTTGCAATTCAAAATAAGAAGATTGATATAACATACTATGAGGTTTTGGTAATTAGCTACTGAGATGTAAGGTGTTTTGTCCAGAAAAACCGTCCACTTCGGCAACCACTCAATCCGTCATTCTGAAATTTAGAGTGCTGAATTTTGTATCAAAAAAAACTTACACACCTCAGCTTTTATCTTATTTGTTATTTTTTCGAATTTTCATTTTTGCTCATACATGGTGGTCAAAACGCGATTTGTACTTTTTCTCAAAAATTTCAAATGCATCACCCTGTATATTTGTGCAAGTTTGGATTCAATTTTTTATGAGCTTTTTTTTGACACTAGACACATAAGGGCTTTTACGGCTATTTTTTTGGTTACGTATTAGCACGTCTTTTATGGAACGGCTTAATTCCCAAAAATATCGCATCATCCTTGGAAACAACTAAATTGTTGATTAGTTACAAACTGTCAGAATTAGCTTTGTGAGCATTATAATAAAAATGTGTTTGAAAATGAATTTTTCTAAAGAAGAAATGGTGGGTGAATATGGTGTTCGTTTTGGGCGATGCCCACCGAAAGAAATAGTTTCCTAGCATCTCGCATTTATAAGCAACGGTACCCTAATATGCGACATCCAAGGCCGGAAACATTTTCCACACTACGAGAACGTTTTGAATCAAGTGGACCAGTGGAATATAGTAAGAAATGTATAAATAATCCAAGTGTCACCAATGAGGCGAATCAGTTGGAGGTCCTATTAAAGTTGCAGGAAAATCCCCATTTAAGTGCACGACAATTTGGGGCAGAAACTGATATATGCTGAACTTCTGTCCAAAGGATTATTCACAAGCATAGGTACCATCCATATCACCTATGCTTGCATCAAGGCCTTCGTCCTCAGGATTTCGCAGCTCGAATGGAGTTTAGTAGAATAATGCTAAATAAAGTGAGAAAAGACACTACTTTCCTGGATAAGATTCTTTTTAGCGATGAGGCAACTTTTAAAAGCATAGGTGTTGTCAACAGGCATAACATGCACTATGATACGACGGAAAACCCTTATTGGGTTAGGCAAATGGATTTCCAAAATAAATGGAGCTTGAATGTCTGGGGAGGAGTTATTGGCAGACAAGTTATCGGGCCTTCCTTTTTCGATAACTGATTAACAGGTACAGAATTTTTTGATTGAGCATTTGCCCTTTCTTTTGGAGGACGTCAACCTGCAAACTCGGATGCACATGTACTTCCAACATGACGGCGCACCTGCGCATTATCATAATCGTGTGCGTAACTATTTGGACACCTGGAGTAACAATCGTTGGGTCGGTCGTGATGGGCCTATATCTTAGCCTCGTAGATCACCAGATATGACACCGATGGACTTCTTTCTATACGTATGAGGCTACGTTAAGCAAGAGGTTTATAGATATTCACCATCTGACCCGGAAAATATATAAGGAAAGGATTAAGGATGCTTTTCTGAACATAAGGGATGTGAGGGTCATTTATCCAAAGGCTGCGTATTCAACATGGTGGAGATATTTTCGAGCAGTTTTTGTAGATTAGGTCTTGAGAAGTGATGGTTGTTTGTTTAGGTTGTTGTTTTAGTTGTTTTCCTCTATTACGTTTGAAGCTTGTTTATAGTGTTCTGATTGTTATTAGTTTTTACCTCAAAGCTTAATAACTCAAAATCTAGTGATTTTATTTGAATCAAACTTTATACCAAATAAAGCTTATAAAAAATATAAATCCAAGCTTGCACAAATATTCAGGGTGATGCATTTGAACTTTTCGAGAAAAAGTACAATTCGCTTTTTTGACAGCCCTGTATGAGCAAAACTAAAAATTCGGAAAAGTAATAAACAAGATAAAAAGCTGAGATGTGTAAGTCTTTTTTGATACAAAATTCAGCTTTCCAAATTTCAAAATGGCGGATTGAGGGATTTGTCGAAGTGGACGATAATTCTGGACAAAACACCCTACATCTCAGTAGTTAATTACCAAAACCCCATAGTATGTTATATCAATCTTCTTATTTTGAATTGGTTTATCCAAATATGCAATAAAATTTGAAGCATTCCATTTAAAAATCACAAGTTTGATATGTACGTCAAAATTGGGACACCCTGTATAATTGACAATATTTTAAAAATGTACCCTAAAATGTTATAATAACAAGCCCTAAATAGGTTTTCCTAATATTTATTTGTTTATGAGTATATATATATATATATATATATATATCTATTATGGGATTAGGGGACTGACGCGCAATGCTTCAAAAATGTCTACTGATTTGTGAAATTTTTATTTTTGCGGATAAAATCAGGCTTTAGGGGCCTGCGTCTCCGAAGAAGAGCGTGGCAGGATATTTTGTATGAGAACTTGTGGCAATATTTTTGGTGTTGTTCATTTATATGACAGATTGGATGCTATTCTAAAACGCCAATAATTAGGCTATTTAATATCTACGTTGTCGTTAGTTGTATAGGGATTCGTGGGAGGTACATTGATACCATTTTGAGTACTACGTTTTGTCGTCATCATCGTAGAGACAAAGTCAGACAACACGTTGCAGTTGGGACACAGAAAAGTCAAAAGAAAGTGCACTTCTATTCCATGCACATGCGAGTTGAGTGATACCAAGTTGCCCCATTAATGTTTGACGTTTTTATTACATCCGTGTGAAAGGAGCACTGAATACTTGAATAGATGCTGCTGGACCGTCTCGGTGGCAAGACGTATCGCAGTATTCCACAAAGAGCTCACGTAAGACCCCCAAGATGCAGCGATGTGCGCTCACAATACGAGAGCCATCAGGGACACTTTTTAGACGGGTGCGATCTATCATCCAGATAACAGTCGGGCCATTGCGGCGAACGCAAGCCATGAAAACAGGATCGGATTTATGTAAAAGATTTCGTTCCGTGTCGCTGATAGCTAGATATGAAGATGGGCTAAGCTTTGTTTATCTGGCAACGACTGTTTTAAATAAATGGATCGTTTTTATTTTCAGCGAAAAAGACAGGCAAGTAATATATCAATTTGTATACTATTTCTGAAAGAAATTATGCTACACAAAAGAAATCACTATATTCTTAAAACAACAAATATAATCACCATATACAGGGTGTCCGCAAAGTTGGGGTTTTCCTTTACACGACGTGTAGATCTTAAAAACATAAGCAATTTTTCTTAGTACCATATACACCAATGTCTTAAGGGAACCGAGATAAATTGCTCTGCAATATCAAAAATATCTGAATACCGTCCTGTAGCCGCGACCCGGGACATCACCGATTGGTACAATGTCTCAACCCGACTGCAGAACTGGGTCGGGGTCAGTGTGTCAGTTCAGTATACAACCTCCAACCGACGGTTACGGTCACGCATGTAGAGGTAATCGCGTAGACGAGAATCCCTCAACAAGCACGAGAGACGTGGCTAGAGAAGTGCAAGTATCAAAAACTAAAGTGTGTCAAACGCTGCGTGAAGAGGGGCTGTATCCGTTTCACGTCCAACGTGTACAAGCCCTTCAACCTGACGATTTTCCAGCAAGAGTGCGGTTTTGTGAGTGGTTGTTGCATCAACATGACAATAATCCGGACTTTTTGAAGTGCATATTGGTGACAGACGAATCTACGTTCACGCGTAATGGGGTGAATAACTTTCGCAACACTCATGTTTGGTCAGTAGAAAATCCGCACGCTGTCCGTCGGGCACATTTTCAACAAACATTTTCGGTGAATGTTTGGGCTGGCATGGTGAACATTGGACCATTTATTCTCCCAAATCGATTGGCAATACCTAGACTTTTTACGCAACAGTTTGCCTTCCTTGTTAGAAGATGTGCCATTAAGTGTAAGACAATCAATGTGGTTTCTGCGTCTGCTCGGTAGCGCATCAGCTGATTTCATTTTCTGTTGGAGCGGTATGATTTCGGGCAGAGACGTACTTAGCCCTTCTCGTCAACTGGAGAGTGAGTACTTTTTCCTTTATTTTTTTTTACTTGGTCGCCATCGTTTCACTACACATTACCTTTGTTATTTCAAGGGTAACTGTTTCTGAGAAGGAAAACCCCAACTTTGCGGACACCCTGTATAAGTTATGTATCAATCTAAAAAGACGAAGTCACTTCAGTACTTTAGCCTCGCAAACCTTTCTTATCAGTTTGCATATCATATTTTATTTATTCTTTACAATGGAGCAGTAGGAAAAGTCGACGAGTCAAAAGGTAAAGCGAGCGTTCGTTGCCCTTCACAAAGTTTGACAATTGTGAAAATACTCCATCGAAACTAAAAATGCATTTGTTCAACAGCAATATAAAGGTGGTTCTACAATAAGAAACCTAATTAACATAAAACTCCATGTTATCAAGAGATGTCTACGCAAAGCTTTACAAATATCTTGATCAAGATCAATATCAAATGACCTGTGAAAAAAGTCAGGGATAAAAAAGTAGGAGTTGGGATAACACAAAGAAAGCGGATCTATATAGGTCACGTACTATGAAGTGTCACCGACAAATCAATGAAGGAACCTTCAATAAGACAGACATTTAGAAAACCTGGGCCGATCATGGACAAGCATGGTGGTAGATGAGGCGAGGCGAGCATCGAAACTTGCATATTACCTTTGGGGAAACATTTTAAATACTTACTCGGGTACAAATTTACTGAATAGGTCAATTTTCTATATTCTTACACCTTAATTCCCTCTTGGGTATTTGCCCTTTAAAAATCGAAGTGGAATTCATGATCTTGCGTCTATTATTGTCTTTTTCATCAGGAGTAGGAGTCTCATGATTTAACTTTTCGCAACTAGCTTTCCCACATATTACTTATTTACTTTGTGTTATAATATCACTCCTCTCCACTTCTGATACCGGCCAAACTTTTATGGTTATACATAAGAGCCTCAAACAAATAAAATGGTAAGGAGGTTGCAGTTGTTTGTAACTTTGTAAGTAGTACCTGACATTAATTTAGCAGCTGTGGGAAAAGGTAACCAACTGAAAAACAACAATTTGCAATAAAGCCCCGATACACTGGCTTCAAACCAATTTGCTCTGAACTAGTGAGCGTCATTTGTTCACTTTATTCCTCAATTTTCCGTGTGCACCTTTTGCACGTTTGGGCATGAACAGTCCCATGTTTTCCATTACGCGAAGCCGCAACGTAAACCAAACCTCTATCGGATTTCATATATGCGAAAGCCGTGCCCGAAAGCCAATTATATCGTGAAATAATTTCACTGCCACTTGGGGTAGTTAAACGAATAATGATAGCAAAATCGATGGTTATGAACTATATGGTTTGGGATGCCGCATGCGGATTGATCCGTGCACTGGATTCGAAATTTATTGCTTAATGTGAAGAGCGATTTTGTGGGATATCATATCTCTTTATGGATGTTTTTCCGCTATTTTGGAGTTGCGATTCAATTGGAGCGGACTAGGTGCGATAGATAAATTGGGAATTATTTTTTGCTAAACTAAAAATATTTTTACATGTTTCAGCGAATATGGTGAGTTTGATATTCTGTGGTGCATGTTGATATTTCCCCGATGTACCGTGATGAATGTTGAAAAATAGCGTAAAGTAGGTTAGTAGATTGACTATGAACTGCCCTCGTAATTCTGGATAAATGGACTTTTTATATGCATCATATAGCATAAGCGGTAGAGTAAAATGATTATCAATGAAAGAAACCATTATTGATTTACACGTATGAAGTTATAGTATGTAGATCAACTTTCTTACATTGTAAGTGCTGTGCAATATGATTAGAGAAAAAGTATTGTGTAGTATTTTCTTAAATAATCGAAGAGAGCATTTGTAAGTCCTGGTATTATTTGCTCGAGGAAAAGGTACTAAGATGTATGATATTCTTCATTCCAGAAAGTAGCTTTGTATTCGCAGGAGACTGGTGAACGTCTATTCATAACTTCACACCTGAATCACTACAATCCTGATGTTGTCACCCTACCTGATTATTTATATTCAATTATTTCCTGGTAGTCGCAACTCTTACATCGTCTGGACATTGTTGAGCTCTAATCAGCTTTTCAGGTAAAAATTCGTCGTGTGGACGTTCGCCCAAGAAGCAAGCAGCGGCTAGTGTATTTAATAAACGAAATATTTCTATCATTGAAAAGTGTTTAGGGCAAATACATATACGGGGTAACTCATTTATGGGTAGAATTACTGGGGTTAGAAGTTTATAAATATATTGCGCCCAAAAAAATTGCGACTTCCAATTTTACACCCCTGAACATTTTTCCAAAAGTGAACAGGATCATATGGATCGCCAAAAAACGAAACGTGAGAGATCTACAATTTTCAAAATCTGGAATAGTAGTAACCTCAGTGTGATAATTTCATCAAAATCCGACCGGTACTTTCCAAGTTAAAGACAGGCCGAAGATTGGGCAACCGGGAGACAAAGAGACCGACTGAAGGTTAGATTGATTTTTTTATATCTGCGTATATTGATTATCAACCTGTGCATAAAAAGCGGTTAAGAAAATACACATAATTAACAATCACCACCAATATATGGATTTTTGAATAGTATTTTAAACACATCACCAGTCTTTTCAACTTTACAGGGTTCCCACGTTTTCGTGTCTTTTTGCCTTCAGTAGCTATTCAAAGTTTTTTCTGTATGCAATATAAGTACACGCAGGTAAAATAGCTGAGATAAATGAAATACAACTTACCCGTCATCAAGTTTATAGCGAAGAATCCCTCTGGATTGCCGGACGTTATCTTGTAGGTGATCTCCTGATTGGGATCCTTATCCCTATCAGTAGCCTTTATTTGGAGGACCTCCGTGCCTGGAGGACTATCCTCGACGACTGAGGGATAGTAAACGGCTTCCTCGCTCAGAGGGACGTTGTCATTTTCATTCAGGACCTCGATGTAAACCTAAAATTAAGAGGCTTTGCATTATCTGATCACGATACAAATTGGTGTGTGTTATGGGCATATACACACGAAATGCGATTTGGTAGGGTAGTAAACAATGGAGGCAAAGCTATCCTGTTTATGATACGGTAGTTGAAATAGAATGGGATACAGGACGGATCACAGAACCCAGGCAGTATACAGGGTGTTCCCTACTTAAATGGACATAGTGAAATGGAAAGTAGTATGGATCGGGACTTTTTTATCTATGGATCTCAGTATCGAACATATTTTGTTGAAGCTTTGCACGACACCAAAGTTACCTAGGAGTAACATAAGTCCAAACGTACAGCTGAAATATTCAGGGCTGGACTCGATTTTTCCACTTTTATGTTTCTTTATCAAAATCAACACCTTTTAAGCTGTCTATTGAAATGTTGGACCATGAACAAAAAAGGTAATGAATGTTGCTAGTTGATTAGCAAAATAGTTTGACTGCGCCTCTTTTAGCTTTCTAGTTGAGCATTTTTATTTATTCAAATATCTTATTAACTCCTACGCTACTGGGCGAGGAAGTATTGTAATTGCGAAGAAATTCGAAAATGAAATACATACATATTGTGTCTTTTGGATGGTATATGAGATGTAAATCACCAAAAACCATGTCATACATTTCTGTGGGTCTGTCTGTCCGCTAATGCTTGGCCCGTCTGGGTACCGCTACGATTTTGAAAAAATTTTCAAACAAGGTTGCGATTATGCACTAAGGACGAAAATACTTTGAAAATCGGTCCAGTGGCGACGAAGAAAAAACTAAAAAGTTGAAATAAAAATCACTCAAACCTCGTTTTTGACGTTTCTGAGACCCTTGGTCATTTTCAGAAAACATTTTGTCTGGGTAAAAAATAGTGTTGGAGGTTGTAGTGATGGGGAAAGTATACCTCAAAATTTTTGTGTTATATTTATACGCTTCCAACCCACATAATCCCGTAAATTTGCCTTTCAAACTTAGGATGATAGTGAAATATTTTCAACACACCCGTGCAACGCAATGGACGAGAATCTGAGCGCTGGATGACTGACTTGATCCATTTTATTAAGTTTTGTTAAGTGCAGAGTTATATCCGATCATTTAAACGTAACAAAACTGCTTTGTAGCATTCAGGCCCACCAAACATTAACTGGCAAACAGAGTAACTTGGTCCAAATATGCTGAAAAAATCATCAGGTTACGAAAGTTGGATATATCTTTTAATCTTCAAAGTCTGGGTTTTCGACAATCACTCTGCCACCACTAGTCCGATTTTCAAAACTAAAGTTTTTTCGTCATTGTCAAAGTAGTTACTTTATATGACAATTTCATCAAGATTCGAGCGGCACTTTCCAAGTTATAGATGGGCCAAGGATTAGTAGACCGATTGAAATGAGTGACATATTTTTTCGTAATGTGCATGTCCAAAAAACATATCTCATTTCGGAAGTTTTTCGCGATTATAATACTTCCTTGCCAGTGACCACTAGTTTATTTGTTGAATGTTTATATTTTGTACTAACTAATGCGAGAGTTTATTCTTGCACCTCTGCCTAAGGATCTATCATAAATATGATTCAAATAACTTTGTAAACAGGCGACACTATTTTTCTAACACACTCTGTATATTTTGCAACGTCAAATTTTAGCGTGTTTCTAAAGTCGAGAATATGTTACTTTTTGAAGTAAGACAGCACAAAGTGCCATATCAGCTTTCGTTCGTTGTCTACCGAGACCAAGCCCACACCATGCTGAGGAGTTGCCAAATAGCACGAAACAGCTGACTATGGTTGGCCGTCTGTGGTCGGACGAACAAAAGCCATATTATTAGTATATTATTTTTTTATAGGAAATATTCAGCACTTTGCCCCGAGTATGCCGAACAAAATTCCTCCCAATTGACTGACCCGAAGGATTTTCATAAAGAAAGGCATTTCAGTATCTTAATATACAGCAATCGACAAAAGTATATAGACAAATTAATATTGTGCTGCATTTCTTTTTTAACTTGTTTTATTAATACACCAACCTGTATACATAATTCGTTATAGCATAACACTCACTTATACATAAATAAATTGATTAGACTCCCTTCAATAAAAAAATTAATTGAAAGAAACTGGATCTATGAAGGACAAAAATATACGTATATATACAAAGCAAAACAATTATAGAAAAAAGAAGCAAAGTTCATTGAATTATAGAAAACCAACCATGTTTGTGTTAATATTTTGTAGCATAACCATTATTATCAATCACCGCCTGGCATCGTCTCAGCATAGATTGTAGAAGTTTCTTGATATAAGATTCATCAATCTGTCTCCATTTTTGCTCTAAAGCGGCAAACAGTTAATCCTTGTTTGAATAATTTTTATCTCGTATTTGCTTATCTAAGTATGCCCATAGATTTTCAATGGGGTAAGATTGATCTTAAGGGCATATTGTCCTCCATATAGGTTAACATGACATGCGTGAGTATGTCTGTGTATACAAACTTATCTATAATGCCAGCTATTCTACGTAAAGGTCCCATCCCAAACCCCGAAAAGCACCCCCAAACCATAACAGACCCGCCTCCATGTTTGACAGTGCTCAAAGTGTACTTGGGGTTCAACCTTTGTCTACTAGGACGTCTAGCGTAATGAACACTATCTAATCCAAACATATTGAACTTGGATTCGTCACTGAAACATATCCTCTTCCAGTCACAGATGCTCCAATCAAGATGCAACCGTGCAAATTGTAATCGGTCTTTACGGTTTTTCCTCGAGATTAGCGGCTTCCTACTCGGGCGACATGCAAATCATTCAATCTTCTACTTATAGTTTTCGTAGAAACACTGGCAATTCCTTTTGTCTAGATTTCGGCTTTGGTTTGTCTTAGGATTTTAAACGGATCTTTGGACGACATTACTTTTATTAATCTAACTGATCTAGCATTTAGTTTTCTAGGCCGACCACTTCTCTTAGAGGCTTGCAAGGTAGCTTTTTGTTTATATTTGTTCAATATTGCTCGATTTGCTTTACGCTTCGGCTCCAAATTTTTGGCAATGTCGACTTGACGTTGACCATCTTTGTCTAACTCGATGATCTTAGTTTTCACATCGAAATAAATTTCTGGACCACGCGGCATGGTCTTAAAATCACTCAACTTATGCCACAGTACTTGATGAACACAAACTAATCCTCTTCTGACACGAAACTGTACTAAACTAATGTTGAAGAAAATTTGTATACATATTTTTGTCCTTCATAAATAAGTGTTTATATTCAGACTTGTATTGTGTTCAGGAATTTAGTTTTTCTACTAATAACGCATTTTTATGCAGCAATGTAGTATGAATTCGTTTTCTAAAGGTATTTAGGTAAATATTCATATTTGTCTATATACTTTTGTCCATTTACTGTATCTGGGTTCACTTTGGGTCGTAAAATTTGTATGCCAAGTCCGTGTTCTACCTCCGGTTTTACCGGTCTGTAAATATAATTTTTTGATTTGGCAAACATGGCTGCGAAGCCTTGTGCTTTAGTAAGGAAGTGCTTTCTTTCGTATGATTTCTCAGTGAACTCCCCAGCCTAGAAATTCCAGAATTACTCAATAGATGCAAACAGCAGATGGTTGCAGAGTACTGTAGCAGAACATCTAAGAAATATCAGAGCATTTGAACATTAATTTTTTAGTATTTACTGTGACGATATTTGACATTTGTACCTGTCGCTTTGCCTCGCGGTAGACACCAACTTCCTATTCAATCTTTGGATTCTACGCGAGATTCTAAACACTTTTTTTGTATGTCTAAAACTACGTAAACCATGACAAATACAGGCAAAACAATTATAAAAATTTTCTCGTATTTTTGCCTTTGTTATACAATTTTAGAGGTTTTCTTGTGACAGCTAAATAGTAAATGGTGGTAAAAAACAGTAACCATATTGTTTTTATAATTCCATCGCATTAAGCATTAGAAACGAGAATAATTTTGTATAAGATTGTTTTCATAAATCAGTAGTTTCCGATACATATGGAAATACTGTTTTTTTGATTGCCTGAGTGTTCCATACGGCTTTTGCTGTCAGCTAATCTTAGTTAACCTTGAGCAAAACATATATCAAATCTGACAACTGCTATCAAACTGAAAAGCTATTCCATGGCTACTGCTATACAGCATAAAGCATAAGCCGCTGGACTGCTTTACATTGGTTGAACGCGCTCATTTTACTGTCAGCCAGTATTTCTGGCTTCATTGTCAGTTACGGTATAGCACATCGCCAGTCCTTGCTTTTACTTCGTACGCCACTGGACGAGAAAGTATTCTGATCGCGAAAAATTTCACGAAATACTATTTCCGGGGACCTCGGTTGGCCGCGTGGGTCAGAGTGTCGTGCTACTGATCAGCCCGCCGGCCGGGCCGCGAGTTCGAATCGCGCCTTCGCCATGGATGTTGTGACGTCGTGTGTTTGTCCATAATTAGAGATATACAAATACAAGATTGGATCTGGCTAATGGGACGCAATGTCCTAGTGCCAAAAAAATAATACTATTTCCGTCGGTCTGTCTGTCTGATATTCTGGCTGAATGTGTGTCCGCTAATCCTTGGCTCGCCTATAACTTGGGAAGTATCTCTAGGATTTGGATGAAATTTTCACAAAATGTTTCTACTATGCCAAGGACGAAAACGCTTTAAAAAGCAGCTCACTAGCGGCGGAGATAGGGGTAGGAATACAAAAAAAAAGAAATAATAATAGTCGGTTAAACTTCGTTTTTTGACATTTCAGAGACTCCTGATCGTTTTCAGGGACGGTAACAGACGGCAAGCAAGTCAGGTAGCCGACTAGCACAGTGTCATGTAGGCGGAAAATTCTATCTTTGTGTGGGAGAGGCACATTTTATCCTTTGCCTCAGTGCGCGTAAACTAACTTTGCATTTTACCACGAAATTCTGTTATCAGTTTGATGGTGACCTTCCTGAATTTGTAGGTTTGCCAGTGCTGGCAACCGCTCTGATTGTAACTTGAAAAGTGACATGTCGGGTTCTTTTGACATTATGTAAGTTTCCTACAAGACGTCAACTTGGAATTAGCTGTGGTTCACTTCATGCTCACTTGTAGCAAGGGCGGAATGAACTATTTACACACTAGCCTAACAAGTCCAGAAGTTGACATTTTGTTTTTTGACATTATGTAGGTTTTTACATAATAACCCTGTCGGTGATAAGTTATGGCTGGCACTAGACATACTTGCCTTCCGAAAGTACACTGATGGACTCGCAAAAGAGTGAATGCTTCTACACTTATAATAAAGCTTTAGTAGATGCATGAAGTTTGCGGAAAGCAGTAAGTTTGTGGTTCCGACATCAAACAAACCGATCAGTTTTTCGCTTGACTTCGATATAGTTTTTCAATGTAAAAGTGTAAATGATCTATTACTAACTCACTAAGTTCTTAATTACCCATTCCTTAAGGGAAGCACCAATTACTTAGATACAGTAGAAAAGCTTGATATGACTGAATTTGTAAAGATCAATCATTCATTGAAAAGAGCCATTGCCCATAGATGCAAGCCCAGCACAGATGCTATAGTTTTTGATTTTTTTTGCTGCTCAATAATATAATAGGGTGTCCCAAAATTCAAGCTGAATATTTGAATCAAACAGAAAATATAGCTTTCTTCTGCAGATTGTTATTTTTTGTTCAATCATAAAGTGTACAGTATATAGGGTGTTTGGAAGGTCGATACAAAGTCTCGGGGAGGTGATAGCGCAGACCATTTAGAATCTTTTAAGCCAAAAATACCATAGTTCAAAGTCTTACGGTTTTCGAGTCATTCGAGATTTTCGATTTTGATTGAAAGAAAATATGCCTTTTGTTTCTGTTATCACTGAAAGAACATTAGGCTATATGAAATAGTTTTTAAATACCTGCCAGTGTGGTTTTTTTCTCCGAAGGTAGAGAAAAGAAAAACAAATTGACTGTAAACAAATAATAAATACATGTTTTCCTATTTTTGTGATACTGATAAGAAGGAACGTGTTTGCGTGCATGATAAAACTAGATTCCACACATTCCTGCTTTATTCCTTTCCAAACAAGTCAATAGTAGTTCATAAAAATCAGTCTAAAAACCATGAATTAATTAGTTTGTAAAATGGCCACTTTCACTTACGAAGAATACGCAGATATCGTTTAGATGAATGGCAGAGCAGATGACAATGGACTAGAAGCACGACGGTTGTACCAAGAGCAATTTCCTGGATGAATATTGCCTAATTTCAGACTGTTTTACAATACTTACTGACATCTTTACGAGACTGGAAGTGTAACGCGTAATGCACGTGGTTTTAATCCAGGTCGATATCCTCCTGAGGCCGAAGATCTAATCCTCCAAGCGTTTGGAGATGATCCCACTACAAGTAAGTACTAGGAAAGTTGCTGCTGATCTTGGTTTGTCGCCATGGAAGGTTTGCAGTATCATGCACCGTGAACGAAAGTATCTTTTTCATGGTATCGGCGTACAAGGACTTGAAGATGGTGATCCTATTCGCAGAAGCCAACTTTGCCGTTTTCTCTTACATAGTGACATTGAAAATGAACGGTTCCTGGAAAGCATTCTATGGACGAACGAATCCAATTTTTCAAAGGAGAGCATTACAAATTTTCACAATTTGTATCAACGGGGTGATAAGCAGGAAAATCCACACTGGAATAAACAGGTGTCTTTCCAGTACAAATTTTCTGTTGATGTATGGCCCGCCGTAATGAGACAAAGATTAATCGGTCCTCATTTATTGCCTGAGAGATTAAACAGCGACAGTTATCTACACTTTTTGCAAAATCATCTTTCCGAATTACTTTTAGGAATAGAAATTTTAGATGACATGCAAATTGTTTTCCAACACGACGGATGTCCAGCTCATTTCCGTTCAGACGTAAGACAATATTTGGACGATACTTTTCCAAATAGCTGGATAGGCAGAGGAAGACCAATTCCGTGGCCTGCTAGATCCCCGGACTTGACACCATTGGATTTTTATGTCTCGGGGCGGATTAAACAGTTAGTTTACAATGAAGAAATCGTATCAAGAGACCATTTAATAAGAAAAATTCGAGAAGCTTTTTATTTAATGTAGCAAGACCAATAAAGCCTGTTTCAATAGTTTATTTTGTTTTGTTTACTAATTTATGATTTGAATTTGAAAATCGGAATATCTCGAAAATCGCAAGACTTTGTACTGAGGTATGTTTGGCTTAAAAGACCCCAAATGGTCTGCCCTATCCCCTCCTCAAGACTTTGTGTCGACCTTCCAAACACTCTGTATAGTTGTGTATCGAATAGCAGATGAAGTAAATGCCCAACGAATCCAGTAAAACAATTCGATTACTCATTGGTCGTATACGCTCTCATTTCAGTAACCCGAACTGCATTTTATTTTAACGGGTTATTTTAAGTCGAAGATCAGGCTCACAGACATTGAAAGAGGAAACCCAACGTTCTCTCAACAAAATTCACATATCACATCTATGCAATTGGTCATAAGAATGTCCTAAAAATGTGTTTTCGAGTTAATTTTAGTTTTGCATGCATTTTGGGACACCCTTTAGCTTCACCAGTCAGTTGTAGCGCCAAATCATTGTTAAAGTTATCCTGGACCGCCACTGTAACTCACGTAATGGAGAAAAAAAATAAGGGAGCAGCCTCGGCTGGCTCAGAAAATAGAGGCACGCTGGTTGTGGCCAATTGCTTTTATTTCCAAGAGAACTGTGGCGGTAATTAGTTGGTGCTGGTCTTGCTCCTGTTAACTGTCTTCAACCTACCAGAATTTAAAAGAAATTTTCATCAATATGGTAATGAGAAAACATTTGTCGGGGCTCGGAATATACTACTTAAGTAAATTAAAATAAGGTGGAGTTGATCAGAGAATAACTGCTTTTACCGGTTTTATAGTCGGAGACAAAAAACGTATTTTTCAGCTCTGTAATATTGTAAGGGAAGATGCAAACATTTTATTGTTTATGGAAAATATCAATAATAAGCAATCCACGAATCAGTATTTTAGTTACGTAACTCCTCTATGAAATGGTAAGATATTAGAGATTATGTTCATACGTCTTTTTGGCGCATTTTTTATATCCCCAGAACTGGTGGCATTAGGAGGAACTAGATTATATCGATAACAACCTTTCGGCATCATTAACAGAAGCTGGTAGTCCAGCTCGGAATACTTCGTCTTAGTACGGCTACTATAAAAGTATCTGGAAACTTGCAATATAACATCCATCACAGGTGACCAGAAACAACTGTTCAGTGTCAGTGACGACTTTAGTCATGACAGATAACAGAAGTGACGTCATCATAACTGTCCATTTACACAGAGTCGTAACAGATAGATTTATAAGAAATTGGTGATTAAATCTGTACTTTTCACGCAATTCTGTCATGAATTATAATAGGTACATACTCGTATACAGATATTTGTCTTATTTTTTGGGCATATTAGGTACGCTACTGATATATATTGTATCCACGCTCTAGACTCCCATCCTGAGAGCGCCAATAATTTAAATAATAATAGAAATCTTTGAGTTTTATTTAGTCTAGGAGAAGCCACTATGATCACGTGTGCCAATATGTCCCCTCAGTTTGATTGTAGGGCATTATTAGGCACATCTAGGAGTATATAAGGGCCGTATCGTCAGTCGTTCCTACAATTGTAGGACGCCTTTATGGCCTCATTGATTGTCATATAGTCTTTCCGCTCCTTCAAAAATTTCTAGATTGCACCTGCACCTTGTCAGCGGCTCTCCTATTGTGAAGTTATGTTTATAAATCAAAAGCAAGAAAAAATTAGAGCGCTAACACGAGAAAGTAGAAAACTATGTAAATCAAGGCCTATAAAGGCGACCTACAATTGTAGAAACGGATGACGATACAGCCCTAAATTTAAAAATAGCCGCCAAGGTGAAAAATGGTTATTCAATTATATCTTTGTAACCAGATGGACGAATTCAACTTTTAAAAGTTCATTTCACAATTTTTTCAGAGCAAAACACTTGAATAATTATTCATAAACCATTTTTCAATGTTTATCAATTCGTGCACACATTCAAATAATAAATTGGAAACTGGACCGCTTTTGGTAAAATGAAAACCAATTTAGAACACACAAAATGTGTTTGTTTCTATAAAAAGGAATAAAATAAACAAATCATACTGGTCAACTGGTTAGTAAGATATGATGACCAACTATCGCATACATTGGCGGCCATTTTTAAATATGGCGGCTAAATGATATGGATCGCATGGCCTGGTTTGTCGTATAGGTATTCCCGTATTCAATCTGAGAGGATATACTCATTTTTAAAATATTTCGCGATTACAATAATTCCTCGGGTTAAACTCTTAGAGAATGAGACACTTATTGCCTTTAAGTCAAAAATGGCACTAAGTAGCTTAGCAGCACTTCCTACGTAAAGCCGTTATCAGTTCATAAAGGATTAAGTTCGGCGTAATTTAAATACTTTGAGAGAAAAATCAGTATGAACAAGTACAACAGAGAAATTAAACGGATCAAGTCAGTCAAGCTGACTCACTCAATTAGCCCATAGGCAGTCTTTCCCTGCCCAGCTAGTAGTAACCGTCCATCTGGCAACATTGCACCTTCCTACAACGTCAGACGCAACAGCACCACCGCAGTACCAGAACAACAATTAAGCAGACCAGTGCGCCGGGCACTGAGCCCATGAAGGAGACGCGTATCTCTGTCAAGACATATGTACGAGAAAATCTATGATGTGTGAAATATGGCTGATAAGTATGTAGAATTGCCGGTGTTGGGAGCGTATAAGTATATGTACTAATAAAAAATTGAAATATACTTCCACTCACCCCGCTACGATCACCCGTCCCCTTCCTTTCAACCCCTAATACTTTTTTAAAAATGATCAGAATCTTCTGAAACGATATTTGAGCGAGTTTAGTTTTTTCGTATTTGGGCTTTTTCCCAGCCACCTCTGAACCGATTTTCGAATAATACAAAGCATTTTCGTCCTTGGCATAGTAGTAACATTGTGCAAAAATGTAATTCAAAACTCAGCAGTACTGTGCCAGTTAAAGAGGGCCAAGGATCACCGGACTGACCGAAAGACAGAGAATCAGACAGACATACCGAAATGAGTAACATGGGTTTTCATAATGTACATGTCATATATCCAAAAAACAAAATATATTATTTTCTAAGTTTTTCGCGATTTCAGAAGATACTTGTCTAGTGCGGTAGAAAGTAAAACGATATGGGTTTAAAAGAAATCTTTGTGATATATGCGAGTGGTTCAGGGTCATCGCCTTAAAAAATATCCATCATACAAGAATCAGACAACGAACCGGAAATGGTGCATTGGGATTCCTGATTTTTCGTGAAAAGTCGCTTGCATAAACAGGACCAAAATTATAGCAGAAGTAAAGAGTAGTCGTGCTATCACTGGATTAATCATTATTTTTCTATCAAAAGCCTCTTTCAGTGAGACATTAGCTTATCCTTGATATGGGTAAACTTCTTCCGGAAGATGATTCGCTTTTACTTGTACGGATCAGTTTCAGAGACGAATCATTACCATTCAGGGCGATAAAGCGAGCGCACGAGCCTTAAGGGGACTCCTCGCCGTCTCATTAAGCAGATGCGCTACCGGTAAATCTGGAAATCGTCTTTTTATATTGTTGATTTTATTATCAACGCCATAAGCTCCATCCGGCTGATGAAGTAGCATTCAGGAATGGAAAAAATGCCAGGGGTTTTACCGCTGAATAAATGAATAAATGGATTATATTTGAGAAAGCGCTATAATGGACTAAAGCGGGAGTTGAAAACTCTCCCTTAGAACTTCATGTAGTAACGGCTGCGCTGAATGAATGGAATGCCTTTAATAGTGGAAAATGTAAGGTTTATAAAGATCCATAAATAAATCGACTTCATGGAAGACACGTAATGGCTACACAACTGAACTGACGCAGGGGAAGGGGCAGAACCTTTTGTTGTTGAATACGTACTAGTCTGAATTCTCATGTACCACAAAATATGAGATTGCAAGTTTATAGTCAACGCCAAACAAAGTCGCGTGCACGTCATCAAGGTGGGTGTGTTGAAAAATTTACATTGTTGCCAAACTTTTTGTAAAATAATAAAATTTATTATTTACATATCTAGGTTTATAAACAATATTAACCTCAAATGAGAACAAAAATAATAGTATAATAAAATTATAGATCTGTACTTGCATAATCATTAAGTATGACAATTATTGATC